GCAGTTCATGAAGGAGGGCGAGCTAGCGACATCCGTTCTGTCAGCTCGTAATAAGTCGAGCAGAGTCAGGACGGCGGCGGCAAAGACGTCGGCGCAGCAGGCGGAGGTGGCGAAGACGGCGGCGACGGCGGAGGCGACGGCGGTGGCAGCGGAGGCGGAGGCGACGGAGGCGATGGCGGGGGCGGCGTCGGCGGCGGCGGCGCCGATGGCGGCGGCGGCGACGGCGGCGGCGATGGCGGCGGCGGTCTGGGCGGCGGCGGCGACGGTGGTGGCGGGCTTGGAGGCGGCGGCGACGGTGACGACGGGCTGGGCGGCGGCGGGGAGGGCGCATGCGGACTTGGAGGCGGAGAGCTCGGAGGCGGCGGCGAGGGCGGCGGCGGCGAGGGTGGTGGTGGGGATGGCGGCGAAGGGCTGGGAGGTGGCGGCGACGGCGGTGGAGGCGGACTTGGCGGCGGCGGCGACGGAGGGGGTGGTGAGGGCGGCGGAGGAGAAGGCGGAGGCGGGCTTGGAGGCGGCGGCGAGGGCGGCGGCGGGCTGGGTGGCGGCGAGGGCGGAGGCGGCGGCGAGGGCGGCGGCGGGCTCGGCGGAGGCGGCGAGGGCGGTGGTGGGCTGGGCGGAGGCGGCGAGGGCGGTGGCGACGGAGGCGGCGGCGAGGGCGGGGGAGGCGAGGGCGGCGGTGGAGACGGAGGCGGGCTCGGAGGCGGCGGGCTCGGTGGTGGGGGTGAGGGCGGTGGTGGGCTTGGGGGAGGCGGCGAGGGCGGCGGCGAGGGCGGCGGCGGCGACGGTGGCGGGGGGCTGGGAGGCGGTGGCGATGGCGGCGGCGGGCTCGGGGGGGGTGGGCTCGGGGGCGGTGGACTCGGAGGCGGTGGCGAGGGCGGTGGAGGCGATGGAGGTGGCGGGCTGGGCGGGGGTGGGCTCGGAGGCGGCGGCGTCGGGGGCGGCGGCGATGGCGGCGGCGGGCTGGGCGGCGGAGGCGGCGGTGGTGGCGGTCTTGGAGGCGGCGGCGTCGGTGGCGGCGGGCTGGGCGGCGGCGGGGTGGGCGGCGGCGGCCTTGGTGGCGGCGGGCTCGGTGGCGGCGGCGTGGGCGGCGGCGGCGTGGGTGGTGGTGGTGCTGGCGGCGGTGGGCTGGGCGGCGGCGGCGTGGGAGGAGGCGGTCTTGGCGGTGGCGGCGACGGTGGGGGTGGTGTGGGCGGCGGAGGAGAAGGCGGTGGCGGGCTTGGCGGCGGCGGCGTGGGCGGCGGCGTGGGCGGCGGCGGCGTGGGCGGCGGCGGCGAGGGCGGCGCCGCCGCGGGCGGCGGTGGGCTGGGTGGCGGCGTGGGCGGCGGGGGCGTGGGCGGCGGTGGCGCGGGCGGCGGCGGGCTTGGCGGTGGCGGCGTGGGCGGCGGCGTGGGCGGCGGCGGGATCGGGGGCGGTGGC